CCCCCTTTTTCTTTGCCTTACAGCTTCTGACATGAAGAAAGATATAGAGTCTTTAATAGCCCAGGAAAAAGCGGAGATTGTTGCCAAGTATGAGAAGGTACCAACCTCGTGTTTCTCCCTGACATGCTGGCTAAGGCTGAAGCTATTGTATTGATTAGGAATGTTTCAAATAAGAACTTTTGCCTCCCTATAGGCATCACCCCAGTAACCCTCATGCCATCAGGCTTCATGCTGGCTCTCCCTATCTGCTTCTGCCTGCACATCCCCTCTCACCATGTCCCCAGAGTTTCTCGCAGATCCCATGTGTGCTCAGCACAAATACTGAAATGTCCTGGGCTTCTAGTGCTTCAGTGCTCCCTTAACACCAGGATGGCTTATGCCCAAACAGCACTGGTTTCTCCGATGTACAACCCTTCCCAGCCCATAGCAGAGGCACACCAGGGACACTGGATAGGCTGAACTTGTGCGTTTTTCTCTTGCCTGTGTTGTATTTGTCTCTTTAGAGGAGGTTTTGGTCTCCTGGCTCTATGGCTTCTAGTGTGCGGGGAGGGAGGGATGCAGGCACTGGGGGTGGGATGCAGGCACTGGGGCACTCCCAGTGCTGGGGCCGGCTTACAGGTGTCCTTTCTGCTTTCAGGGCAGGCAGGAAGGAGCTCAGATTGACCCCTGGGAAGATGCAGATTTCACGCTGTATAAAGTTACAGACCGGTTTGGATTCCTGCAGTAAGTCCTCCTGTCCTCTCTGACCCGCGTGTCTGTGCAGACCATCTACCTGCACCTGCCATCTACCTGTGGAAGACCCAGTATCTTTCCTATAAGCCGCTCTGTGGCTTGGCTTGATCAATCCCAAATGCAGGAGGAAAGACTAGGATGAGCCCCTTTCCTCAACCAAACATGTTCAAACACTCTGATGCTTTGAATCTGCTGCAAGGCAAGGCTCAGAAATGGTTTCCCATCACAAGCCTGGTGTCAGAAGGTGGAGGATGGTGCTCCTGTGCCTCTGTGGAGGCCCGCGGTGTGTCGCAGAGGGAGAGGCTCTTGCGTTTGCACCTGATGATTCAGGGAGGTGTAGGAAGAGATGAGACAAGATACCTGATTGTTAGGATATCCCCATCCTAAGCAAGGCACAGATTAATTAGATGCACACCCTGTGCCTGGGGAGAATGCTTAAAAGAACTATTTTAATTCCAAATCTGAACAAAAAGTTACAATAGTAGGTGTTTTGTGTGCAGGAGGGGGGTTCGAAGCAATTGCTGTTTAGAAATCCCGCCTCCCCCTCCCCTTCACCCCCGCCCCTGCTTTAATTGCTGATCATGTATGTATTGAAGAGGAGGTTTATGCCCAGGATTTCCGGCGATGTCCAGTGCTTGATTACCCCCCAGCAGCTCCTGTAGGGTGGTGGGGTTTTGGCTGGTGCTTCCTCTGCCTCTTCCTCATCCGGGACAGCTGTAGGAAAGCCATGAAGCCCCCAGGCTGTATCTCCTCAGGTACCTGAGGTGGTCCTTGAGCTGCAGCACCCTGCACTCCTCCGCACCCTTTCTTGCCCATAGAGTAACTGGTGACCCCTTGCTTTTCCAGCGAGCAGGAGCTGCCAACCCGCACGGCCTTGGAGGATAAGGTGAGAGTTGCCAGCTCTGTCATCATGGGTACTGGATCATTATCACACCAGCTGGGGAGGGGACAGTTTTTGAGGAAACAAATGTGCAAGCGAGAGCAAAGCAGGTAGCCAGCACCCGCTGGTCACTGCTGCTCGTGCAGAGGTGGGAACTCTGCACTATGCCCAGCTGTTGGACCTTTTATTTTGGTGGGTCAGGCATCTCCTCTCCTGCACACTGCACTGAAATTGCACCTTTTAAAGCAGTTTTGGGCTTTTTCCTCTGCTTTGGCACAGCACTCAGTGCCTGCAGCTTGAAAAGGGGATTGCACATGCTGGGGAAAGCAATGGAGGTTGTAGGTAACCATCATCTCCATCCTCATCTCCCCTGAGCTGGGAGCATGTCCTCTGTTAGGATCCTGCTAACTGGGACTAAATAGCATCTCATTTCTGCCGATCTGATACAGTGATAATGATTTGAGCCTAGCTGAACCTGCAAAGATTTTTGTTTTCAAAGAATACTCCTCTTGGAAATGCTTTCTCTGTGTTAAGCCTGTGTGTCTCATCATTTTTACGAATGCTGCTTTAATTACCACAGGTTGAAATTACCAGTTCCTGCAAGCACCTGTGGATTGTTTCCATCCACAATGTGAGGTCTTTGCGTAGAAGTTTAAACTTAAAGAGAATGAAGTTTTGTGTTTTCAGGAGGTATCTTCTGGCGCTTTTTTTCTTAAATTTGTCTTGTCTTCCTCCCCCTTGCACCAGCAAAAACAGCAGGAAATCGAACGCGTGGACAAGTGGCTAAAGATGCTGAAGAAATGGGGCAAATACAGAAACAGTGACAAGGTAAGGAGAAAAGAAAGAGCATGTGTTCAGAGGGACAGGAATGGTGCATCCTTCCAATGAGTCAGGCTCTCAAAAAGTTAATAGAGAAACAAGAGATCACTGGAAAATACTGCCTAATTCTACCTGTTAGTCTTTAATATTTTAAATCTTTCCTTGAAGTTGCTAGGTTACCAGTCGAGGGAGAAGTCCTGTTCTGACTAGCATAGTTTTAAAAATGGTTTCCTAAATGCTGCTGGCATGTTTGCACTTCTGCTTCCCTGTGCAAGCAGGAGCGCAGCAGAGATGTTCTTGTGCCCAGCTGGGTCCCTGCCCTGAGAGCAGGGGGCGTTGCATGCCACAGGTCGCTTCTGTGTCTCCACCACCTGGGAATGGCATGGGAGATGTGACTGATATGGTCCAGCTGATGTTCCTCGTAATTCTTCCTGGAGGGAGAATTATTTGTCTAGGACATCAGCTACATTTTATGTTTTGCTCCTAGCTGTGCCTGTGAGAAGCCCTTTAGGTGCTTAAGTGTTAGATTGTGTGCACCCATCTCTTGAAATCAAGGATGGAGACACCAACCTCGTCTCTTGGCTTTGGTGTTCAAGAGAAACTCTGGACCAAACGCCACTGAAAATCTAAGTTGTTTTTAATAAATAATATTTGTAATATGTTCCTATCAAACTTCTTTAAACAAAACCCCTTGAACCTAATGACAGGAACCTTGCTGGGTAAGGAGAGGACCATCACACCTGACCTGCTCTGCTTACAGCACTCTGCACAGGAAGGGGGCTGAAGCCCAGCATCACCTTGTTGCCATGGCCTCTGCAGCCTTCTTGTTTGGCAGGAGTGGGGCGTTTGGCTGTATTGCTTCTAGCTCCTGCTGAGAGTCCTCAGGAGACACTTGAGCTTGGTTAAAAGGTTGCGCAGAGGATATCTGCATAGCTGCAGAGGGGGCATTGAGCAGAGCATCCCCCTTGCCCAGCCATACAAAGTGATGTCAGGTTCACCTAGCCAAAGACCAGCTGTACTCTCATCCTTTTTTAAAAAAAAAAAAAAAACAAAACAACAGAATCTTCTCTTCATTATAGCAGGGATGGGGTGGGGATGGGCTTGGGGTTTTATAATCCTTCTCTTCACTTCTAATTATTTTGTTCATTGGTGCTGCTCCACAGGCAAAAATGGAGGCTCTCCAATAGTTTTGGTTTTCCAAATTAGAAGTTAGCACTAATTGGTTAGTGGCCTTGTGGGTAAAACACCGAATTCCAGCAGAATGCAGGGAATTCCTTCGGATCCTGGAGGATGTTTGGGACGGGTAATGATGAGTGTTTTTTAGCATGCTTTGGCTTCCCTGGGTCAGCCGGTGGGGACAGACAGGATCAAGGGTGAGGGGTGTGTGGAGTGGTAGTGATCCCCATCTCTCTTTTGGGTTTACCCCAATAATTAGCAGGTGTGTTAAGCACACTGCAGCCAGCGTTGCTCAGGTGTGCTGGATAGCAAGGGGCTAGACTGGCAAGCGGGTTTTGAGGGTCTTTGGGTCAGAAAATCACAGAGCTCTTGTAATGGAATAAATGATGTTATTTATAACAGCCTGTAAATGGTTGATGACTCTTGGGCACAGACGTGGCATTGTCCCTGTGCTGGGGGACTGGAAATGGCCGTCCACCCTCCCAGCAAACAGAGAAGCAGCGCTTGGCCCCAGGCAGGGAAGGAGCAGTCTGGTGACCCCGGGAGTAGAAAGGAGCTTTGGCTTCAGTCCCATCCAGCCTAACACCCCACTGCCTTGCACCAGTGCAAGTGCAGGCAGGAAGGTCTGTGCATTGAAGCAGCCACACACCGTTAAGTGAAAAGACCCTGAGAGGCACAAAAGAAGTGCTTTAAAAAAAATAATGAAATTAGGTTGTATCCTTCACCTGGATGTGCTACCCCACACTCTTGTGTCAGGAGTGTTCCTGCTGCCACGGCTAGATGCAGCTCAGATGTGGCGTTTCAAGGACCTTATGCTGGGATCACAGCCCTGCCCTTCAGATGTTTATGGTTTTTATCTAGCTAAAGTAAATGTGACAAGCCCTTGATCTGATTTTTCTAAAGTGTAGTGGGTTGGTTTTGTTCCCCCTCTGAGTACTCGGGCTGTCACATCTGCGTTGCATGTTTCCTTCAGGTTTGTTTTCAGCACTTCGATGACGTGATGGAAGCCCAAGTGTCACAAGACAGCAGCTCTGTGTTATTTTAATAAAGACAAGGATGTCATCTTTGAAAATCACCTCTTACTGAAGACAGGATTGTTCCCTTTGATGTTAATTTTGATAGACTGCACTTTATTAGAGAGGAAAAAAGTCTTGTTGCAGGAACCCCAGGCAGTTTCACAGGGAAGCTGCCCTGACTTTGACTCTGCTCGAGTGATGTAGAAACCCATCTTATTTTCCAGGCTGGAACTTGCTGGACTTCAGGGCCAACCTTTCAAGTTCCGGTTCATGTGCTGGAGCTGGCAGACAGCTGACCATATCAAGTGCCTGAAGAGGGACTCTTGGCTTATCAAGCAGGCTGTCATGTTTTGCAGCATCTTAATACCTGATCGGGGCTTAGGTTGTTGTCTCAGCTTCTGTGTTGTGAAATGTAAGCAGGAGGAGGGAGGTTGTATACCCATCCAGGGCACTGGCCCCAAAGCAACCACCCATCAGTGGGCAAGAAAGCAGCTTTTTCAGACCCCCAGCATGAGCCATTGACAGAGAGCAGCAGGTTTTGCTTTCTGTTTCGCCACCTGCTGCCAATGCGCATCCCTGCATGCTGCTGGTTGCAGCCTGGGTGTTGTGGCTGTCACAGATTATAGGAAGTAAGGCTGAAAAAAACCCTCAAGAGGAGGTCCTCTTACAGTCCCTAGCCCAGGATGGCCCAGTTACGCCTAAAAATCATTCCTAGCATAAGCTGTTTCAGGATGAGCAACAATAGGATTATCTTAAGTAGAGTGATGCCCTGGGGTTCCCTGTGCTCATCACCACATTTCATAGTAATCTGATTTAATTTTAGTAGCAACATCAACAAAAAGTGACACCAGCACAATTCCTCGCATGGATGGGGTTAGACTGATGCAATGGTGCCTTTTCCTGGCTGTACTTCCACAAGCGAAAGGGTACAAAAATAAAGGAGTCCATGCAAGGACCACACTGCTTTGCAGAGTTAAGGTAAACCTGCAAAGAAGTGCTAAATTGTGTAATTCAGGGTTCAGCACAAGGAGGCTCAGGTGGTCTGTGTCCTCTTCATTGCTGTTTTAAACTCGAGTTTAAATCCCAACCTGACTCTGCTTGGGAAGGTTAGGAAATGGTTGGTGCCATGTAAGAATATACACAATTAAGGCAGCACAGTTTTGCAGAGAAAAAAGAGGGTGTGCTGCGTGTGCTCCAATAGCGGGATAATTTATTCATTGTAGCCCTGAAATAAGTGGATTTCAGCCAGAAGTATCAGTCCTAGGAAGAGGATATGACCTTTGCATCATTTGCAAGCTGCTTCTTGCTCCTGGCCATGTGGGATGGGACCTTTAGAGAGGGATGTCTTCAGCCAGAGATGTCTGGTTGTAGGCAGAGCCTGTCTTTGTGCACAGGGGTAGCCTTGTCTCTGCTAAGGTCATGGGAGTGCAGGGCGCTTAATCCAGTGCATGCCAGCAAAGTGGTTTAGGATGAATCGGGGCTCTGTATGGACTGACACAGACCCCCGGAAGCGAATAATCTGCTAACGCTGGGGAAAGCCAGCAGACGTTTGTCATGGCAGGGTCGGCTGAAGTCAGGTCTCCTGCCTGCAAATGCCATGGGAAAGAAAGGGGGTTATGCCTAGGAACTGCAGAGTGACTTCTGCTGCTGGTTTTTGCCATTTTGGAAAGGCAGGTAGCATCTTCCTCTCCCCAAAAGGTGGCCCTGGTAATAAATGTAAATGCCCACCCACAACACATCAGCTTTAGGATTTAAATTTGTCTCTGCTTTGCTGCCAAAGCCCCGATAGCCCTGCTGGCATCCCATCTGGCATAGCCAAGGCTTCAGCTGCAGGGACAACAGCTGAGTTGGGAACAACCATTATCCATACAGAAAGAAAACCATGCACAGCAAAGTCCAGGCTACCAAGTGTCTTGCACAGCCACATCATCAATCAGCCGGGTTCGTGGTACAAAAAAGAAGTCCTCTTCTCCAGGGTGGTGGTGGTCATGGTGGTAGTGGTGGAGGCTTCACCCACCACTCCAGGTGAAGATTTTCACAGGTCAGTTCCCCTGGCACATAACTGGTGGAAGAAGTGAAGGAGTCCTTCCTCTCCAGAAGGATCACTCTGAGCCCTAAAGGAACTGAGGAAGGGGGGCTGCCCCCCACTTCAGGGTGTTGGAGATGTATGGGTATACGGAGAGGCTTGAAAGTGAATTTGCCATGCATACCCAAAATTTGGGCATTACTCCTGCAGTCTCTTCCTGGTAGACCATGCACATGGCTGAGAAGCTAACAGTGACAGTCTCCAAAATGTGAAGGTGGGCTGAAATGTGTGTATTCTGCTTTAAAAAATCACCACCACCACCACCCCAACCCTTTTTAAATTCAGTGTCTCATCTACTGCAAAAAGATGTCCTGCATTTAAAGGCAGTGATTCCACCCCTCTAATTAAAGACCTGGAGCACTTGGTTGGGTACTTCTCAGAGATCTCTGACGCAGGAAGATGGAGCTCAGGTCTGTACTTCTATAGTCTTCCCCATCCCATCTACTAGAAAGAAAGTACATGGGGAGGGGAGAGATGGGGATGGGGTGACAATGGCCTCTGTGTGGCAAGCTTTGTATGTTAAAGCCTAGAGAAGGAAGATGATCCTATAGCAAAACCCAGAGCAAGTTTTAAAACACTGTGGCTTCAGTCCTTGGCTCTGACACAGCCTTTCTACACAGCACTTTGAGCCATCGCTTGGACCACCATCATCTCCATTTGTGAAACAGGATGATGTCCATTCTTCCTGCCATGCATCGGTCTGTCTGTCAGTCTGCATGGGGCATGGTCTAGGTGCTCTCCTCCCATCTGTAAGGGCTGAGCGGTTTATAAGAGACAGAAGATGGTGACCTTGAGGGTTGTTTTTTCTTATCACATGGAGCAGGAGTTGCCATCACCTGCTGCCTTCCCTCCATCAGTTCATCCCAGCGTAAATGCTGCTTTTAATGGTAACTTCCCTGTTTTCCTTCAAGTTTCACGACAAAGCAAAATTGCTCATTTTTCCTCCATATGACTCACAGCTCTGAGGTCTTATCACTTTCATGTCTGGAGGTGGTGGGAGGAGGAAAACCCTGGGATAAATAACAGGGAGGCGTTTCAGTTCAGTTCCATCTCAGCATGTTTTGTAACTCAACTGCTCCTGCCACGCTCTGATGTGGAAAAAATCATTAGAGACATTTACTATATGCCCATGAGGGTTGCACTCATTAAAGCACAACAATATAATCTCTGGGAATTCAGAACAAAATTATTTTCTTCACATGGAGCTGAGCATCATCTTTACCTTGGCAGCTGTCAGTTGGTCTCTCCTAATCCATTGGAAATAAATAATTCTTTCTCAATTGGTGATTTTATCTGAATTAGTACATACTCCGGTTTCTTGATCCCATCTCAGCTTTTGCTTCATGAAGTAACGAGCACTTGTGGGAGCCAGGCTTTCATGGGTGCCTTACCAGTACGAGTTTGGGAATGTGGTTCATCTAACGCCATTGCTTTGTGTCTTCTGATGCTTTCATTGCATTCTTTCATCCTGATTTAAAGACTGTCAGGGAATGAGAATCTCTTGTTTGTCTCCTTGGTCTTTCAGCCGTGGGGATGAAGCTGTCTGGCATGGCATGAAGGTTTGCTGTCCTCCAGAAACACCTCCTCACATGAGCTTGGATGAGCAGGAGTGACTCCCCTGGGTGTGCAGATGGTGAAATAGAGATGTCACACTTAAAATGAGGGATGCTGTTGAATAGGATAGTGGCCTTCCATGGGCACATCTTGGTAGTAAGCTGCTTTTTAGGGGGCAGCTCTTATTTGGTGCGTGCAGAGGGAAGGGCAGGATCTTGCAGAGGATTTCTGTAGGGTATGGTCTTGGCTATGCACTGGACCTCCACAGCTGGTGCTAAGCAACACCTGGGGCAGAGCAAGTGTTTGGCAAGTGCTGAGAATGGGGTTTTAAATGTTGAATGTCCATTACACTTACAGGATCAGGATACATTACACTGACAATTTCTGTGTCAGCAGAAATACTGAAATATTTACCATAATGTGGTGGAAAAGTGTTCTAACACACATCTAGCTCTCCCAGTACTACATGGTGGTCTTGGTGTTTATTACATTGGTTATTTTATATACTTATTTTGACTGGGATAGTGGTGTTATTTCTTTCCCATCCCCTAGTCTGTCTACTTGAACCCCACCTCCTGTCTTGTCTCATACTAGCTCTTTGGGACAAGAGCCATCGTTGCTGTGTTTTGCACTCGGTAGGTGCAGTGCTGCTGTGCAGATGGTAACGAAACAAGGAGTGTGGGTCTGTGCATGGCAGGTGGGTTGACAACACAGTGCCATGGTTATGATCTTTATAACCTTGTGCATAGGCTGGTATTAAAAAGTCAAGCTGAAGTGAAAAAGCTGATGATGCAAGATGGGTCAGAAAGGAAAGGTGACAGGAGCAGGTGTTCAGCTTCGTGTAAGAGATGCAAAGGCAATGTGCCGGAAAACCTTCTGCTAGGATCTTGATGCTTCCCCGTGAATTGCAGCCCTCTCTTGCATCAGCCTGAAATGTGTGAAGCAGAACACCCTATGGAAAGAGAAGAGGGATTCTGAAGGAGGTCAGATGCATCTGTACCAGGCAATGCTGGTAGCTCCAGTTGATTGCCTGGTTGGGCACCACCCTGCTCAGCCCCGAGCTCATTCCCATGACCAGGAATCCAGCACATCTGTCCCCTCCCAAGGAATTGCCTGGTCCCAAGAGATCACCATGTCGCAACATAAATCCCTTCCATGGCTGGACCTTGGGCATGTGCAGCAGATCCTTCAGCATACCCCGGGGTCCTCAGGAACCTGGAGGAGTGCCACAATTGGCTTTGTAGTGCAGCTGCAAGGCATTTCACGGGTGGGATGAATGAAAGGGTGGAATATATTCAGAAATGAGGCTTTTTTTTTTTTTTCTGTGAAGCTTTTCATTTTAATGGGAGAAGTCAGGGATGGAACAAAAGCTCTTTTTTCTGTTTTCCATTGAAATTTAACGGTCTCTTTAGAGAGAGAGGACTTTATGACAAGAAAAAAGGGAAGAAGCATCTGTGAGATGAAGTGAACATGTGGAGACAGGAGGAGGGACACGTGCACATTTGTCCCCAGTCCCCCTCCTTGCTTGAGGGCTACCCTGCATGTTCAGGGGAGAGCCCTTGGTGTAGCCCACAGTATCCTTTGCTGCTTGTCAAGCCGTGAGAGCTGCTGTGGACATGTCCCTGTGGCTCTCATAGTAAGGGCTCTCCTCTCCAAGAAGAAATGTATTTTTTCCCAATCCCTGAAGATCCAGGTGAGAACAGCCATGCCAGGTCAGAGCAAAGGCTTCAAAGCCAAGGGTGCTGCATCTGGTCCTTGGAGAGGAGTCCAAGGGCAGGCTGGTGTACATGGAATGTGACCACTGTGAAGCACCTGAGATGTCTCCATGTATAAAGGGGATATGGTCTGTGTCCAGCTCTTCCAGTAAGGTTGAAAGCATGACATGTGGCTTGACTTCGGCTGAATAGGTGTCTTCAATGTATGCAGGTGCTCAGCTCATCCATCAGATTGGAGATGTCCTCTCTGTGCCAGCACAGGCAGAGGAAGTGATCGGTTGGGGTGTCTGCTCAGATGGCTGGTGGTCTGCAGCAGCAAACCATGGAGCAAATCTGTTCTGCTACCAGCAGGACCAGCTCCCCTTGCACACCTTTCCCTCCCCACAGATGTGCCGGCGAGTGTACAAAGGGATTCCACTTCAGGTGCGAGGCCAGGTCTGGTCACTTCTGCTGGACGTCGAGAAGATGAAGAAGGAGAACGAAGGAAAATATGAGGTATGGGCTCTTCCTGGCAAAGGCAACGGGAGCAAGGTGATGGAGAGGCTGGTTTGGTGGGGCTTCACCAGCTGGAGCAAGTCAGATGTGGGCAGATGCAAGCATCTCCATCTCCACCCTCATGGGCAGGAGGGAAATGGGGGTTCCTACGGGGATGCTTTAAGGGGTGGGAGGGGACACCCAGCCCTTGCATCCTCCCTCACAGGGTAATGGTGTGCCTAGCACCCTACGACATGGGCTGGTGGTGGGGCCTGATCCCATCTGCGAACTGCTGCAACCTCTGAGAAGGAAAGGCTTCAAATTAGCGACGACTGAAAATGCAAAGGGGATAAACTCTTTATCCATGTGTGTATATTAGGCTGGGACCTTTTAGCACATTAGCCAGCTGCTTTCCCTAATATGCTGCTTCCGTTTGTTCTGCTGGAAGCTGCGAGCAAAGATGCTGGCGGCATTACTGCATCCTTAGGGAAAGGTGCAAGGAAGAGGGAGGGGAAGTTTAGCAAAGGTACGGCTCGCAGTTCCCTGAGCTCCCTGGAGTGGTGTGGAGTAGCCAAGAGCATCCTGAAGTGGGTAGGTGCTGGATAGGGGTACCCCAAACCTCTCCATGTGCTTGAAAATTTCACTTGGGGCATTTTGGAGTGAGCAGCAAGGTCAGAAGCCTTAAACCAGCTGACAGTGGGTGGTTAGTCAAGAAACCCAATTAAGGGTGGGGTGAGGGCAGGTCTTGCAAGCTTAGGAGGTGGGATTTCTGAGCATGGGGTCCTGGCTTACAACTTAGATGTGCAGGTGGAAGTTGACTGGCAGTGCTGACAGAGCTTGGATTGAAGTGGCCTCTTTTATCTTCCATCTTCAATCTTTTTATAACCATCTTGAAAGTTTCTATTAAAAATCAAATAAAAATATTTCTTCTATTAAAAATTACTTATTTTCTCTGCAGATAAGAGAAAAGCCTGCCTTGCATTGCTTCCTACCAGAGCACTGCAAACACTCAATTTCTGTAGTGTGTGTTGAACAAGAACCCAAGCTGTGGGGCTTGCTGTATTTTGTTATATTTTATTCCAGGCATCTCAGCAACTTTACACCGCCTCTTTCCATAGGCAGTGTGTGGAAGCCCTTCATTGATAATTAACTTATTTTCCAAACTTGTGTTATGATTTAGCTTGCATCACGTACCCAGGTGAGGATCAGGGTGTTGTGGAAACAGTTATGTTTTGGAGGCAGGAGGTCGAGTGCTGCTTCCAGCAGGTGTTTCTAAAAATGCCTGCCTATTAAGCAGGGTGACGCTAATGCTCATTATAGTTAGTCAAGCATAGATGTTACTAGTGAGATGCTTCTGGGATAGAGTCACATGCAGGCACTTGGGGAAGGCGGGCTGGGTTCATGGCAATAAGCAGAGATAACAAAACTCTCCCAGCACGCAGGTTCGTATCATGCTCCCTCCCTTGAAGCTGTGCTGTGCAGGCAGGGAAGCAATCCAAACAAATGAAAGTCAGGAGGAGTTTATCTGTGTTCCAGAGGGGTCTGCAATAAACAGGAGCTTCAGGGCTAATAGGCTTTGCTGGATGCAAACCCCCTACAAGCTCATCTTAATCCTCCTCTTCTTTGGTGCCACCTGCTGCCAGTAATTGGCGCTCTCCTAATTTCCTTCAGAAGAGGCACAGTGCAGGTCCTGGATGAGGGATTTGACCTTCAAAAAGGGACCAAGCCTCAGCCCCAGCCCTGTGTCCTGGAGGGGCTGGTCCCAAGGCCACCCCATTTCTTCTTGGGGCAGGGACCATGGCACAAAAGCCTGACTTTTGCATGTGCCTTGAGTTTTGAGTGTGCCACCTGGCACGTGCTAGGTGATTTATCTTTTATACCCGCTGCTCCCTCTGCACTCGGGCTGGTGGAGGAGCTACTTTTCCAGCCAAGCAGGATACCTTGCTCCCCATGTCCATGTTGTCTCTGGAGTGATGCAATTAAAAAACCTGGTCCATTTGCTTCTGTAGTGGTTTATCTTATCCCAGCTGTCCTCCAGGTCCTCTCTGTGCAAGTCTCCAAGTCTTCCTCAAGGCCAGGGCAGCTCAGTTGTCCCTGATGCTGCAGGAGCCCAAAGGCTACTGTGGGACGTGCCACACTTCGTTTCAACATGGGCGTGATGCTTTGCCTCCCTGGGGTTTTATAGCCACAGCCAAGAGGGCTTGAGGAGACCTGAGAAGGCATTAGGAGAAACATGCTAGCCATGGGGCAGAGCAGAGGCATCCTGACTCTTACCTGCTGCTTTGTAAAAGGTCTCTGGGACGGGACCTCCAGCTTCCCAGACTCTCCTCTACTGCTGGTTTGCAGGGCTTGCAGCACTAATGAGCTCGGCAGAGCATCTGTGGAGCCCCCAAGTTACTTAAACAAGGGAAGAAAGGAGAACAACCGGTCCTGGGCTTCTTGGTTACCGTTTGCAGAATTAATAAAGCCTCCTGGGTGCATGGAGGTGACAAAGTGCTGCGCAACCTACCTGCTCTTCAGGTGCAGTGATCTTAGATCACTGCAAAGACCCCAAAGTAGGGGTTTTTACTTTGGGAGATTTCTGTGGTGTTCTGGCGGGGAAAACAGCAGGGCTTTTAAGCAGGGAAATTTGAGCTGAAGTGGCCTGGTGCATATGAATAGTCATCTTGTCTCATGTGGTCTGCCTGCTTTATAGAGGGCAAGGATGCAGAGAGCATAGGATTTACAGCTGGGAAATTATGTTGTTCATCAGATCTTCATTCAGTCATCACTTTCATCCTCCCTTGTCTTGTGCAGGTGATAATTCAAAATAGCCCCTGAACTGTTGCTCCTCCATACAGCTGCTTTCAAGGTTGGCATTAATATTCCCGAGATGCTGTGACTGCCCTGGGCATTGGCTGTGCTGGACACATATCTGGGTGCTAATGACCTTTTGATGTTCCCCAGAGTTGATGTGGCCACCTTGGGAGGTAAACAGCAGCCTGGAGGCGCCTTATATCAGTCTGACAAGCATTCGTAGGATGGCAGCTGCTGGAGCAGGTGATTAAGTATCTGTGCAGATGTGCTATTTTCTGTCTCCTGTGTGAGCAAGGATGGGTCCTGACCCTGGGCTCCAGACAAGCTGGGCTTGCTGCTCATCTCTGCTGCCCCTAACATGCCAGTGGATCTCAGGCTGCCTGAAGACAGTCACAAAATGTATTTTATTAATGCAATTAACCCTGGAGATATTAAAGAAGGAGGGCAACTGCATAATCACCGGTGGTATCTAAAGGCTGTGAGATGAGATGCTTGGCTATAGCATAATGGTCCTTGCCTGCATGCACAGGGCTGAACAGTGACTTATGAATGGGACTGCAATGGGATTCGTCCATGGAGCATCTTGAGCTTCGGACTCTGAGGGTGCAATTGGTTGAGGTGGGCTTAGCTTTGGTTTGAATTTCCTTTTTTTGCAGTGGACTTCAGTCGTTTATCTGTGTGATGCTGCCTTAAATGATTAGCCAGGAAGTGGGGGAACGTGGGGATGCTTGGTTTTGAGTTCAGCTTCTGTTCTGGACTCTGCCAGTTCCTTAAAATTTGCAGCAGTCCAAGGGAATACCCCAGAACTGCTTTTCTAGTGGAAAGTCCTTAAACCTAAGATGATTCTCTTCTGCAGGGGAAGCAGTAGTTGGAGATCACTTCATAGAGTCCATCATAACAGTTTGGACTTTATTATGACTGAGCCTCTGAAAAGCTCAGGGACTCGGTGCTTATGTGTGCCTGTTGGTTATAGAAGTGTATTGTTCTTAAGCACCAACAGAGGTCTTGATGCTTATGACAGCCAGGCCGGGTACTGCAAAGAAATGAAAAGAAATCAGAGTGGAATTTAATTGTAAAGGTTTTAGATTCTGAAAACTCGTTTCTTTCCTCTGCATTGGAAGACGGGTAAAGGCTGGGCTGGCAGCAGCTGCTGTTGTAGTGTGTGACTGTGGGGTTGTCCCCTTCTCCCTGGGCCAGCAGCACAGCCGAGGGGGCAGGGATTCATTCACCTCCAGGCTGCAGGTCGCTGCTCACTGCAAGACGGCACTGTCCCTGAGTCGCTCTGCGATAGCTCTGTGCAGCTCACAAGCTGCCACTCCTGCTGTAGGAAGCATGCCTTCTTGCTGTGTGGAGAGAGGTGTGGGCTGAGGTGGTGTCTGACTCCTTCCTCTTGTCTGCCCCTCTCCCTTCCAGCAAATGAAAGAACAAGCAAAGAGCTTTTCATCAGAAATCAAACAGATAGATTTGGACGTTAACCGCACCTTCCGAAACCACATCATGTTTCGGGATCGCTATGGAGTGAAGTGAGTATGGGAAGCTTTGCATGGCTGTATGGGCATCGGTGCCGGTGGGTCTGCGTGGGATGAGCTGGATGGGGTGGCCAGCAGCCGCCTGGTTTAGAGCAGCTCGCAGAAGAGCAAAGCCATCTCTACCTGCTCTACAAACCATCAGCACATGGTACAACCCGCAGATGTTGGGCTGCTGAAATTTGGACAAGTCTGTGCTGGACTACGTTCAGCCCCAGTTCTTGAGCCAAGCATCAGCCTATTGCAGTGCCTTTTCCCCCAAGGTGCTAGGGTTGCAGTTGCAGAGGGCTTGGTTTGGGATGGCTGGGATGATGGGGTGGGTCTCCTGGGAGCTGGGTGGGATGGGGCGTACATGGCCTCCACAACAGACAGGGTTGGAGAGGATTGACAAAGGGGCTTTGTCATTTGGATGAGTCACACCTGGCTGCCCTACACAGATATACAGTCTGTGAGGAAGCCTGCACTGTGTATCTATATGGTGATGACTCCTTTAGCAAGGAGGGAAGGGAGAAAGGAAGCTACCAATAAAATGGTGGCAGTGCTTTCCCCCAGGATGTGTAACACTTGATGCCTGGGTGGTTGCAAGTCTATTAAGAACCCACCACCACTCAAAACCTAAAGAGCGTTGTGTTGAACATAGTGTGGGTTCAACACCCCTGGAGAGACATGCACCCACCACACATGCGTGTGGTTACATGTATGTCTCTCCAGGAGACCTGCTGATTGGAGCAGGATGGCTCAGCCCCACTCCATGAGGCTGCTGGTGACTCCCCCCTGAAGGAAGAGGTCCCAACCCATGTGCCCATTAAGGTGCTTTCTGGTTCTGTGAGCCCTGCTCCTTGCAAAAGGCATAAGTACCAGCTGGCTGGGTGTTTTCAGAGCCTTTGCTCTCTGCGTACACATTGGTGTGCACACGAAGCTGGAGACCTCATGCTCAGGTGTTTTAATATCCTTCTTTCTCTCCAGGCAACAAGCACTCTTCCATGTCCTGTCAGCATACTCGGTTTATAACACCGTAAGTAGTAAGTTAGTCCAGTTAAAGTGAATAGCATTGTGCTTTATATATATAAAAAGCACATATATATATATATAAAGATTTTTAAAAAGCTTTATATATATTTATATATGTGTACACATGTATGGTTGTGTGTATGTATATATATACACACACACATTTAGCCAGTGGTAATTCTGATTTTAAGTCCTAATACTGGTTTGTACAGACAGCTGCAAGACTCACAGGCAGCACAAGACTCTTTGCACAGTTGTTTCATTCCCTTGTTCATTTTGTCACCTGGTAAATGACATCTGGCAGATGCAGTTGGGTGAATGTCAGCAAAGAACAAGGGATTGTCCTGTGGCTTTCCAGCAAGACCAGCCTCCTGGCTGAAGGTCCATCATGTTTCTGACTTCTTGTCATACACTAAATGGCATCCATGTTGAAAACACTGACTTATTACAGCAAACCAGTCATTTTTAGCTGAAGGGCATGGGCAGAATAAGCCTAAATTAGCAGCTGAACCTACTCCCTCCATCTCCTGGAGGGGACAGTTACCCCAGAAGGCACAGAAGATGCTCGGGGGGGTAATCAGGAAAGACCCTGCCTTCCCTCATACCAGATACATGCTTACCAGATTAATTTACTCTTTAATTACTTCAGTGCTCACATGGCTGAAGGAATCCAAAACAGTATTGGAACCACATGCTGTTTATCATCCCATCACCTATTCCTTGAAGTAGCTGCAGGCACCTCTTCTGTTGGGGTTTCTGTCCCTCACCCTCTAGGCTTGAGCAAGGCTGGTGGGGGGAGTGGCGTGATAGGGGGGCATTGCCTGCAAGCCCCTCACCTCCCGCTGGAGGAGCTGCTAGAGTGGGTCTGGAGGAGGGCCACGAAAATGGTCAGAAGGCTGGAACACCTCTCCCATGAAGAAAGGTTGAGAGCTGGGGGTGTTCAGCCTGGAGAAGGGAAGGCTCTGGGGAGACTTTATTGGGGCCTTTCAATATATAAAGGGGGCTTATAAGACAGACAGAAGAACTTTTTTACCAGGGCCTGTAGTGACAGGACAAGGGGCAACAGTTTTAAACTGAAGGAGGGTTGGTTTAGATTGGACATAAGGAAGACATTTTTTACAGTGAGGGTGGTGAGGTACTGGAACAGGTTGCCCAGAGAAGCTGTGGATGCCCCATCACTGGAAGTGTTCAAGGTCAGGTTGGCTGGGGCTTTGTGCAACCTGATCTAGTGCAAGATGTCCCTGCCTGTGGCAGGGGGTTGGACGAGATGATCTCCAAAGGTCCCTTCCAACCCAAACCACTCTGTGAGTCAGTGACATGGTAGATGCTGTAGACATATGGGAGCTGTGAAATTGGGCATAAACGATGAAGACCTTAAAACAGGACAAACCTTGAAAGAGGAGAGCGAAGCGCTGGCAGCCTGACCTACTTGGGCAGCTTTAGCATCATGGTGGGGTCTGACAGCGTGGCAGCATGTGTGCCCCTCTTGGCTCTTGCAGGAAGTGAGCTACTGCCAAGGGATGAGCCAGATCGCAGCCATCCTCCTGATGTACTTAAACGAAGAGGATGCATTTTGGGCACTGGCACAGCTGCTGACCGACCAGCGCCATGCTATGCACGGTAAGGCTGGGGTAGGATGTGGATGGGGGCTCTTGCAACAGGAGGGAAGGTTGTTTAGGTTGGTCAGTAGAGCCTTGTTTCTCCTCACATACTTGTTTAAAACGGGTAAGGCTTAATTCTGTGCCGACGCAACCTGACTACAGAGCTGAACTTCAGTCTTGGAGGCCGACAAGTTTATCAGAGAAAAATGTGATTTATTGGCACTGAGCTTTAGTGCTCAGTAATTAACACTTTCACAGAGGTGCTATCTTCCCTCCAGAGTGTCTTGCCCTTGGCAATCAATTAACTCAAGGTTACGAGTTTTTTAAGAAGCCTCACAGAAGTACATCCAAGAGCATCATGTAACGCTCTGTTTTTAGCATGCCATGAGCTACATGCCCTTGTGTTTTTATGAAGATGTAATTCCACCAAATGTGCTGTGTTATTTTACTTCAAACACATTAAAGATCCTTTCATCTTACTGGTGGTTAGTGGTATTCTATGCACAGAGGGTTATTTTATGAGCAGAGGGCTAAGCCTTATGGCTTGATAACTTCGGACAGTCTTAAATGTTTGTCCTGCTAGATTACAGGGTGCTGCACAAGTTTGTGGTGTTCAAACATCTTCAGCTTTTCTCTGAACCTTGGTAGGCATGGACAGAAAGTGTGTTCAGAGAGGTCTTGGCCAAGCCAAGTTTCAGGTGGGCAGGCGGTGGGGAGGTAAGCAGGTCTGCTCTGTGGGGCTGAGGTGAGAAGGACCAGCTGGGGTTGATGCTGAGGGTGCTGTCACCCATGTAGAAGGGGTGAAGGACAGACTCTGGGAGGGATGCCAAGGGAGGTAGCTGGGCGTGCTGCGGTCCAGCCAACTTCAACAGGCAACACAGGGGATGAGTTTCTAGAAAATCAGGCTGCCCCCATGACTGCTCCAGAGCTTCTCTCATTATTTTTTATTTCTTTTCTCATTAAGGTTTTTTCATTCCTGGGTTCCCGAAGCTGCAGAGATTTCAAGCTCACCATGAGCAGATTTTAAGCAAACTGTTTCCCAAACTGAAGAAGCACATGGTATCATCTCTTTGCTATCAGTCTCCCCATACTGTTTAATGCTAAAGCAATAAGTGTAATGTTCTGTGAAATAGATGCACAACTGAACATATTTCTAACCACATAGGACTGCTTCAGCTGCAAAGAGGCAAGTGTTTGTTAAATGGGGTGCCTGAATCTTGCTGAGGCGAATGGTTATCATTTGCTTGCTGGTCATCATTTGTATAAGTACTACTAAAATCTAAAGGGTTCCTTAGGAAAGCCAGGCAAGAAGGCTCACAGAGCCTGCAGCAAGAAGAGCTGTTGCTTACAGCAGCAAGGCTGGGGTCTGCTGTTACACCAGCTGCAAAGCCCAAAGGGTGATGCTGGACTGTCTGGAGTCTTAATTCAATAATTATTAGCCACAAGTGCTTGCATTTAAGGGCTTTGCTGTTGCTTAAAGACAGGAGGCGCTTAAGATTTGCTGTGCATTTTGTTGCTTGGGCACATCCAGTTGGTTTTCTCTCTAGCAGATGGTACAAGCCCATTTGGTGGCTGGAGGAGCATCTGCAGGACACATCAACTGCAGTCTAACGTCTAGGCAACTGTTTTGCAACACCTGCTCCCTTCTTTTTTTCCCCTTGTCCCCCCTTGCATTTGCTGTAGACAGTTGGCATTCAGTGGCCAGACTCCTGAAGGTTTCTTATGCTCCCAAGGGGCTTGGTGACCCAGCTCCAGGAAAAGCTGTTTATATTGCCATCAGGTGCCAACAGTTCTTGCTTCATGCTGCAAATGAGCCAGCCCTGGCCATATAAGTGAAACAGAGCCAGGACAGGTTTTCACTTAATTATAGCCATGGGGGTGGGGAGACCTGGGCAGGGAGGATGGGAATAACTCTCTGAAAGCTGCTCGTGCCTCCTGGCTCCAAAAGGCTCCCCAGGCTTGCAGGTGCCCAGCACCAGCCAAAAGCAAAGACTGGAGCCAGCTGTTAATCCCATGGGCTTCTTTCTCTTCCCATCCCTGCTGCTTTGCTGGCTTTGCAGCAGAGGTCACATCGACTTTCTGCACATGCGGGGCACTGTGCATCCCAGCACTGGCCATGCCACACCATCAGCTGTGCCAGAAAAAGCAAAGCTGCGTGTGAATGCTGCGCTGGGCACCAGACAGTGATGGAAAAGTGATAGACTGGGGTGATGTTGGTGAGGTTTTTAAGAATTTTCCTTAGCCTGTCAGGCCATCCTGCTCCTGCAGCAGCCATGCCATGCAAATGACGTAGTGCTAGCAAAGCTGGCTTGACTGTGCAGGTCTGGATTTACCTGCAGGATACTTGGGGTTAATCGTTTTTGTGGTGCTCCAAGAGGCTTGAGGCTCGCATGGGAATTGCTGTGGAAACAAAAATGATACTCTGCAAAGCATGTCTTGTTTGGGTTCCTAGAAGGTTTTTGTAAATCCCTGGAGTAGATACTAGGCCAGAAAAGCTTATCCTAGAAATCCTTCTCCAAAGTTGTAGCTGAAGTCTGGCCATGGCGAGGATCAGGTTCAATGAAGAGCAAAGAGCCAAAGGGCCTTTGGCAAAGGGCCAAAGCAGGGCTTCAACGTTGGTATTTAAAGCAGGGGTTTTGTTGGGAGCAGCCAGATCCTGCACCCAGACCCCAGCATGAATAAACCAACCAACCAACCTCCCCAAAAGCCCTGTGAGTTGTTTGAACCTCCAGCAGCCAGCCTGGTGAAACGCCTGTCTCTTTTTGCTGTCTCTTCCTAGGACAAGGAGCAGATGACTACAGGGATTTACACGACCAAGTGGTTCCTGCAGTGTTTCATTGACCGGGTGAGGATACTCTGCAGGTTGTTTGCTGCTCTGCCACTTGCATGCATGGTTAATCCGCCTGTTTTTTTGAAAAAGTATCATAATTTGAAGAAGGTGTTAGTATTTTTTAAGGTGGGATATTATGCACACTCTCATAAGGCAGAAGAATTAATAAGGGAGAAGCTAAAAATAACTGCATGCCATTGATGACAAGCCAGTTCCTGCTGCCTCATCACAAGCAGTTGCTGGGAGATGGCTCAGCAGCAGCAGTATAAGCTTCAAAGTCAGGAGAGATCTTTCTCTTGCTCACTGGCACTGCTGCAAAGGCAATTAACCTCACTTTGGCTCTGGAAGCAACACAGGGAGAAGAAGAGCTGGAGGCACAAACCTGAACAAATAGCACTGCAGCATCTGCAGGCAAAGGAGCGGGCTGGGCACTGGAGACAGATGAAAGTGTGAGAAAATTACCCTGATTTGTCCAGAGCTAATTTGCCAGTCCTGAGCCAAGACTACTTTATTTTTAGGGGTAGCATTGTGCTTGCACATTTGAATGCAAGATCCAGACTTGCTAAAGTTTAGGACATCTGTGTGTCCCCAGTCTCAATTTTCTGCTGCCCCGTCTCCTGTAAAACAGCAGATGACCTCTTCCCCTTGAGAGGGAACTCACTGCTTTGCAGTCTGTCGCTAAAAGCTGTATAAAATGCAAAACCCCTTTAACTGCAGTAGCGTGGTAAAAGAGCTGCAATGGCCAGTCATGCCAAACTCTGGAGATTAAGCGCAGCGTCCTAAATTTGAACCTAAATTGTCACAGTAGGACTAGTATTAATTACTGTGTTGGTGAGATGCCTTAAATCTTTGTTGGGAGATGATGGGCTGCTCCATCATTTTGGATATCTGTTCACTCCTGTTTGCCAGATTGGGTCCAGGTACAAATGAAACCACTTGCGGAGGTTTTTCTAGCAGGCAGAAATAAGCCTATGTATAAGGAAGACCACTTCTCTAAACACGAAAAGAGTGATTTTTTTTAATGCTTAGTGAAGCACCATTGCACCTTCAGACCTATCCCATAAATAGCCCTTCATCTGTTTGGGCAATTTGGATGGATACAGGAGTGGTTTTGTGTGCCTGCAAGGCTGGAAGATGATGTTGCTAGTATGCCTGTGTGGAAAGTTTTTCCTTTTTCTGCATTCGTGGCCAGGTTTTAAGTACTTTCCTGGCCACCCAAGGGTGTTAGCTTTAAGGCAAAACCATAGATGATAAAATAAGTTTTTGTGTTACAGGTGAATCCTGGACATCCAATGTCTCACCCTGTTGTGTGTTTTGGTGTGAGGGGACATAGTGATGCCACCAACCTCTGTGTCATCATCCCATCAGTCAGTGCTAACGAGTGTGGTGCTTAATGAGCTGGTTTTTCGTTTGTGTGTTTGAAACAGACTCCCTTCACCCTCACCTTGCGACTGTGGGATATCTACATCCTTGAAGGAGAGCGGGTGCTGACAGCCATGGCTTACACCATCCTCAAACTGCACAAAAGTAAGGTCCCAGCAGAGCGTGTCTTGTATGGCAGAGGTGGCACCGTGCTGGGCCACCCTTGTGCTGCCGACCCAGAAAGCCTTGGTGGCCACTACCAGCATACTTGGTGCCCTGCGCTGGCCCCAAAAGGCACTCTCCTGTGCTGATGTTCCAGGGAGGAAATGAGATGCCACAAGGGTTGAAATTCTGCACTCAGCACACAGCAAACCCCACCTGAAATGCTTCCAGCTGCTTCTTTCTGCATGCTGTGTCCCACATCTTTTATCAACATGCTTTTAGGGGCAATACAGACAGCAACCCATCTGTCTGCAAAGCTCTGTGTGGCAGTTCAGCTGGAAAGGCTGTACAGGGAGAAATAAATCCATTAATATACTTCTAAAATGACCAAAACCTGGTTTTCTTACATAACATTAAGGCAGTGATGTTGCTACCTCGAGATCTTTGGGACTTTGAACCCCTCCACTCCCATAAGCTAGCAGCCTTGCTTTGTTGCCCTGTTAGGTCTTTAATCTGGGACAGGAGCGATGCTGATACTGCATGCTGGGAACCTTTGGGCCAGTGGGATTTATGGGACTGTGTGTGTTGGCTTCCGCAAACAGCTACCCTGCTCTTCCTTCAGTTGAATGAAGAACAGGCTACCCAGAAACATCTTCAAGTATCTATTTGTTTGCAAAGACTGGGAAACTGGCAGGCATGCGGAATTTTCAGCCTAGCTGTGAAATCATCTCCCTGAGGAATGTGTGGTGTGGATCAGCATCCCTGCCTGCATCCTGCTCCTGCCTGCATCCCATCCTTGCCTGCATCCCTGGTGTGGGTCTGCATCCCTGCCTGCTGGCTGGTGCAGGTTGGCATCCCTGGCTGGCAGTGGTGGCTGCTGGCAGTGGCTGTTCTGTCTGACACTCAAGGTCTGTCTCATGGAGCTTTTCCTCCTCCTAGAGGTATTGGTGAGAACTTCCAGAAATTGGCCCAAAATGTAGATCCTGGTCATCATAGGTCCCATCCTCACCATCGTCCTGCCATTGCTGAGCTACTGCCCAGATGTGGCACAGATACATAAATGTATCAACAACCCTGAGCAACAGTGGGAAGGTGGGAGAGAGGCAAAAACCTTCAGGCTGTCCCACCCCAGAGTGGGAACAGCAGCAGAATCCCAGATAAAACCAAAGCAATGCAACCCATGCTCACGCTACCCTGCAATTTGGCTGTGCTGCTGCCATTACTCCTTTCTACCATCCCCCAGAGCGCTTGCTGAAGATGACGCTGGAAGATTTACGGGAATTTCTGCAGGAGAAAATTGCTGCTTCCCTGCAGTATGAGGACGATGCTGTCATTGAGCAACTGCAGGTGTCGATGACTGAACTGCGCAAGATGAAATTTGACCTCCCCCCACCAGGTGGGTAGAGGGGAAGGCGGGCAGCTAAGCAGGAACTGCCAGCGGGAACCCATGTGCCCTGGGGACCAGAGCATCCCTCTGGCATGGCTGGGAGCTGGGGCAGCCCAGAAGGGCTGGCACCTACAGGGTGCAGCCTCTGCCTTCCCCATGGTTGGTGCATGCCAGATGCAAAAATGAACTGATGCACAGTTTGGGTTTTATTTTGTTTTCTCTGTTCCAATGCAGCAAAGCCTGAGGAGTTCCCACGGAAACCCCTGGGACTGGAGCTCTCCCTCACCCCAGTAGCCGTGAAGGGCAATGTGGCGGCCAACAGCCAGAATGGCCGGGTGGGTGAGCATCCCCCGGACAGGGAGCCCCATCCCCACAGAGGTGCCCGGGCACCCGGAGGAACAACGGTGGTGGAAGCGAGGACTCCCACCCTCCAGGGCAGTGAAGCAGCTGAAGCGATGGACATTCACCTGCACCCTCCTGGTGGGGGGCCACTGGGAGAGGAGGGTCAGGTGGAGCCCACTAGGGATGGGCAGCCACCATCCCTTCTGAAGGCAAGCGAGACGCAGGCCCATCATCACCTCCTGCCTACGGCCCTGCCTCTGGAGCAGCCTCTTCTTGTTCCCAGCCATGCCGTGGTGGACCATGAGTTGGTGTCCCCCCCTGCCCCAGCTGAGGACAGCTCCTTGGACTCCTCTCTCCAAAACACACAGAGTCCTCCCGACTTGAGCACTGCTGAGCTTTCTGCTACGGACCATGCGGTATGGCAGCCAAATCCTGCTGCCCTGACAGCAGGAGAACAAGCATCTTCCCTCTGCAAAAAGAAAGCACTTGATACACCCTCTCATCCTCTGCCGGGTGGCTGGCAGCAGCTTTCTGGCACATTGCAGCACAACAGCTCCACTGAGAGCGAGCACAGGGAGGAGGGGGCTGAGAAGCACTGCAGAGCAGCACTCCTGGACAAAATGGACTTGAAACACTTGGCATCCAAAGCTGCATCCACAGGGGAGCTCACCAGCCTGCAGCAGAACGGGCCTGGGAGCACCACCGGCACCGGGCACTGGCCGGAGGGCTTGGGCACGCTGCCCACACACGGGCTGGTGGGTGGCAGCGTGCCTGTCTTATCCAGCAGCGAGTTGGAGGCAGCGGGGCTGGGTGAGGGCTGCCC